TTGAAAGTTGGTTTCCCAAAATAAGAATTAGGTGCTAGTTGGTTCCCCAAAATGACGATTTTAAAAGTTGGTTCCCCAAAATAAAAATTAGGTGAAAATTGGTTCCATTTTAATACAATTTTTCCAAATAATAATATACAAGGGATAAAACAACACATTTGGTCAAACATATTGCCCAATTCAATGCTAAAATCGAAGGGTGATGAATTATAAGTGATTAATAATTCACTGAATAAGTTGATAAAATAAGTAGGTTAATAATAGATGGCAAGTAGTGTGTAAAATCGAAAAAATAATAAACATCAAGTAAAAAATTTAGAAACAATACCTTTAGAATAATCTCGACTTTGATTTATAATTGGAGATGAAGAATTACAATCGTTGGATGAAGAAGAATTGACAATAGGACTGAAAATAAGTTGGAGATCTAGAGACTTGGAACATCGAGAAGTAGAAATTACAATCTTCTCATTAGAAATCTTAGACATAAACTAACTAAACAATTGAAGAATATGGAGGATGGTTGGTTGGAGAAGTGTAGAGGTGATGGAAGATTGATGCCCTTTGCCTTGAGAATGCTCTTCCTTTTATAAGCATAAAATGAACAGGAACTGTTGCTTTGAACGGGCAGTTGTCCATCTTCAAAATTATTTGTCTTGATAAATGTGCTTGAAAACTTTCAACATTGTCATAATATACTTTTGTCACTTCAACGGGAACGAGCTTTGTTTATAATGGGTATTGCAGAATCTTCACTCTTACTCTCGACACTTGATTTGATAGCACCGCTTGAACTTGTCGGGCGTGCAACATGATCTTGAGTAATTGGTAGTCCTTTATCGATCTTCGATAAAGGCATATTGATCGACCGCTAGTCTTTATAATAAAAATTTGATAATAAAGTTTTAATCGAACTTATAATAGAAAATCTCTAAAAGAGATTACATATTCGTACAATAAATTTTTTTTAGGAGAGACTACACCCAGTGTATACTCACACATTGATAATAGTAACAAACACAAAGTTGTTCTCAAATATTGATAATAACTTCAATCATTGATAATAATAACACATACTCACTGTCTGCTTACATTGATAATAATCACACAATCTTTTATTCTCACATTGATAATAATCACTCACATATTGATAATTTTGCCCTTAAAGATCAGCAAAAGGATCTTGGGAATCTTGATATAATTCAAAGTTTTCCGAAGACGAAGAGGCGGGTGGAGAATTCTTTATTTCTTTGATAATCTTTGCTATCTCTGCCGGAGATGAGCATGCTTGAATTCTAGAAATTAACATCGTGTCTTCTTCTGGAATATTATCGCGTACAGGAGATTGCACCAGGGATGATTGAGATCGCAACTTGTTGTAGAATTCATCGACAGCTTTAACAGTGGCTCTATCATTAGAATACTTATCCCACCACTTTATTCTATATCTTCTGACTGAAGTCGAAGGAGACATTCCTTCTTGTGGTTTATAATGCTCGAAGGGTGAATTAGAATCTGTGGTGAAGTAGGTCTTAAATTTATAAAATCCTTCTACAACAGGAGGAGGAAAGGTTTCAGGAATAATTCCCATGTGTTTGAACCAATTGATAAACCATGTAGGATACAAGTATGGGAAATTTGGGTCGAAATAGAAGAACCAAGAATGATCAAAATTTCTTAAAAGAAACGCCTTGGTCCATGCTTGCTGATAATCATAATAAGTATAATGAGTAAGAGGGGGAAAGCCACTTAGAGTTTTCTTAGAATAGGGCTTTTGATTCCAATCTTCTAAAGAAAGAACCTCTTTGAGTTTCACCTTGCTGTAAGTGACCTTTGAAGGTTCCTTTGGACAAAAATTATGTTCTATTACAATGGACTCGGTATCAATAAGGATAGCCTGATAAAAGTTGCGGGTTTTTTGTTCGTCACTGTCTATAAAATGACAGTTCTTTGGATAAATAAAATTTATAAGGGATCCATAATGGGATGTAACCATCTCTGTTTCCATAGGTTCAAGAACTTTGATAAAATGGTCATGAGGATTTATGATATATTGAGAAAAAGGTGATTCTGATTGAGAATGGGTAGAAGGCTCGATTCTTTTAGAATAAGATGGAGGCGACTCAACGACCTTAGAATATGTAGGTGGTGAAGGGTTTTGACCGGAGAAATATTCATCTTGACAGGAGATGGTACTACTTGAGAATTATTGAATAATGTGTTCGGCCTTGGCCTTGGGCCAGAAGCAAGGGGAGCAAAACGATTTGGCATAACTGGGAAAGTTTGATAATTAGTAGCATATGGTCTGAGAATTGGAGGCTTTGCTTCCGATTGAGAATCCTTCTTTGATAATGACTCTTTTGAAAGGATAATTTTTTTGCCTTGACTCATTCTTCCTGTAAAACTTTAAAAATCTGGAAGAAAATTGTCTATTAAAGAGCTTGTCATTGTACAGAGCTTAAAAATAATTTTGTCAAAAAATAAGGCTTTAAAAGATCGCTTATTATTTTACAAAAAAATAAATAAATTAGATGATAATCTATTTATTTCTTTTTGTGATAATAGAAGTGACAAATTCAAAAATAATCTCTTTATTTAACAACTTGGTTGATAATCTTTTTTCTGTTATATTAATTGGATATAATTGGGTGATAAACGGGGTACCTAATATAATTTTAGAACTTAAATTCTTAACCAAAATTAAAGGAGCTTTATAACAAGGAAAATTTATAAAACTAACCGGTTTACACAACTCTTTGCCACAAAATAACCACATTTTAGAGTTTTTGCCGGAATGACCACCCGGGGCGATCCGCACTATATGGGGGCGATCCCCCTTTTCTAAGTAAAAAAAATTTGAAATTTTATTTTCTTGGACACGGTGTACTAGATGGGGGCGATCCGTGTTAAAAAAAAATTATTTTTTTTCTAATACCAATTTCACTATAAATATCAACCTCCTACTTCATAATTTTTCACACATTCCCTTCCATTTCTCTTCTCATATATTTTACTCTCACAACCCTTAACCCATTAAACACAATAAACAAAATAAACCATCACAACCATTAACCCACTAAATACAATCAACCATCACAAAACATGAAATCACGTCAAAGTGATAATGTTTGTATGTATCTTCAAAGTGGTGGTTTATTCCAAGATATAAATGGTGTTTTAGAGTACCTTTCGATAACCTCCCCCACATGTGCAATACATTTGTCTTCGCCAATAACGTATTCTGGGGTCGTCAAACGTGTGACGAAAAATTTAAGTTTACGTGGTCCTTTCAATTTATTTTTTAAAACGAATACGTTATATCAGTTTTATGGACGACGATGATGTGGTAATCCTCCACAACGCCATTCGTCAAACTTTACCAGAAATGTTGACACTATATGTTGTCGACAATGGAGGTTATGAAGGAAATCCATCAAATGGAAACCCGGGAGGTCCAAACACTTTTTACACCGGTGCTGTGAGCACACTCTTCCCCGACATTAGCGTTGCAAACCCATATGGTCCAAGCACACTCTTCCCTACCGGTTGTGTTCCTGGTCTAAATCAAAGCACTTTCTTCCCTAGCAGTGGAAGTGGTGAAAATCGAAGCACCTTCTTCCCCTACGATGGTGCTGGAAATTCATATCTTGAACAAAAAGTTACCGTTGAACCTGACATTTATTTTGTTCAAGACTTGAACATGCCTCTGATGCAGTCTCCCAACCCGTACCCGATCCGATCTCTCGAACTGTCAAAACCGTTGTAGGAGGTAGATATGGCAGAAGATGTTTCTATTGCTGCCGAAATTTTGAACATACCCGAAGACGACGATAACTCCAATTATGAAGATATCAAGCCGGTAAGGAATAGTTTTTGGGGTATGCTCAACCCATCACCTTGTCCGGACCTAATTATCAAAAGTAGAAAGGGAAACATTTCCTACCAGCCTACATCTCATGTCAAAGTTCTACAAACCTTTGACTCGAAGGAAGCACTTAAACTCGCAGTGGGATTAAAGTGCATTCTTGAAAACTTTCAGACGAAAGTAAAGAAATCTTCCAAATACCGGTACGAGGTGGTGTGTCACTCAGATTCGGACTGTGATTGGCGTTTGATGGCTGTTTCCATCGATGGTACCATTTTTTTTCAGGTACGCAAGCTCCATGATGAACACACATGTTCAAGGTCCCAAGTGCATCCAAACCACCGTAATGCGAACAAAAAGGTTTTGGGTCATATACTAGCAGACAGTCTAAAGGATTGTAGGAGAGTGTACCGTGGTAAAGAAATCATGGAAGATGTGAACCAACGGTTCACTATTAGCAACTCCTACCACCAAGCATGGCGAGCAAAGATGTATGCCTTGCAACTGTTGAGGGGACCCTGGAATTGTCGTTTAACCTACTCCCGGTTTATTGTCACAATCTAAAGCTAGCAAATCCTGGGACTGTGACAGAGATCGCTCTTGATCCACTAGGATGATTCGACATGCTGTTTGTCGCACTCGGTTGTTCGGTAATAATTTTGTCATATTTTATAATTGTTGTCATAATTTTATGTTCTGAAATTACATTTTTAATCTCGTTCATCTGCAGATTCGATCATTTCTAGGACACATGAGACCGCTTCTTATAATGGACGGTGCCCATCTGAAGGGGCCGTATGTTGGCACCATGTTCTTAGCGGTCGACATGGATGGAAACAATGGTATCGTACCCATTGCATTGGGAGTAGGGAAGACAGAAAGTGGCACGTCATGGACATGGTTTTTACATAAGCTTAGGCAGTGTATCGGTGATGTGCCCAATTTAACCTTCATCACCGATAGGGCTGCCTCTATCGACCTGACCACATGAACTGTATTTCCTTCTACGTACCACGGACTTTGTTGTCGGCATCTGAGCCAAAACCTCTGCCTAAACTCTACTAAAGAGAAAAGGAAACGGTGGATTTTCTGGGAGGCATGCAAAGCTTACCGGTTGTAGGACTTTGAAGCTACTATGGATTTGATGCGACACAGTCTACCTAGAGCCGCTCAATATCTTGAGGAAGTTGGCTACGCTAGATGGGCACGATCGCACTTCGTTGGATTACGTTACAGTGCAATAACGTCCAATAGTGTTGAGTCCGTCAACTCAGTAACGCGGTTTGTACGCTATCTTCCGATAACAATGTTAGTTGAATTTTATCGGACGACATTACAACAATGGTATTTCATACATCGACATAACGGAGGTAAATTCAACCATCCTTTGACTATATGTTTGATTATGTAACATATGCTAATGATATCAAATATCTGCAGCGCAAATGATGAATGTCGTGACTCCTTGGGCGGAGGCCAAATTAGATAAGAGAATACATAGGAGCGCAAATTGGAAGGTATATCCCATTAGCGATTTGTTGTTTGAAGTTGACGACCGCTATAAGAAAGGAACGTGTGATTTGCATGCTAAGACTTGTACATGCATGCAATGGCAACTTTCTGGAATAGCTTGCGGTTATGTGATTTATGTTGCTCGAAGTTTAGATATTCAAGACTGCAGTCAATTCTGTTCTGTTTGGTTCAATTCCGACTCTTACCGTGCAACATACGAGGAGGAAGTCACTCCCCTTCCACCAGAAGCTGAATATGTGTTGCTCAACGAACGTTTGACCGTCCTACCCCCTCCCTTGGACATACAAAACTCAAGCAGGCTACGCAACCGCGATCGTATCCCTTCACGAGATGAGGAACCAATAGTGAAAACTTGCAGTCGATGCGGCCAGAGTGGACATTTTCGATATAACTGTCTGAGTTCGATGCCAGCTTCTAGGCCGACGCACAGAAGTTCAAGTAGTGGTCGAAGATTAGTTAGTTATCCAAGCGATTGTGGTCCATCTGAACCTGATACTACACAAGACTATGTATTTGATACTTACGATTTAAGTAAGTAAATGTACGATTTTTAAGTGTACTTTTGTTGTTCTAATGGGAAATGGAAGTTTGATTTAGAAATGCATGAATATTAACCATCAATACATTGACGAAAAGACTGAAACAACACCATTCAGACGTAACATTAAACTGAAAAAAATCAACGACAACAAAAACATTAATACATAACATTCATGTTAGTTTCCTTCTGGGTAAAGTTGTTGGCAAGACTCGATCCAGTAATGTTTTTCATTGATCATTTCTTGCATCACTAGGTACCCCTTCGCGATGTCTTTCACAATTTTTTCCTCCGCTCGAATCTTCTTTTGCAATTGCTTGATTGCTTTTTTCTTCTCTTCAATAGTGCAAACAATGTCATTTACAAAGAATAAATTTATTATTTGGATTAAGCAAAACGCGTTGAATATAATATCGATGCCATACGTTGACGAAACATCATCTCCTGAACGTCGGTAGGCGTATCACAATTGACCTCTAGTCCTTGCGACAATTGCTCAACAAACATGCAGTAGAAAACCCCACAATCGCCGAGCGGTCCCGTCTGTCGTGGCGTGTCGTCCGAATGAAATATGTTAACAGTCGGTATGTTAATTTTGTCCCCGACCCTTACATAATATTCTATTCTAATAGGAATTCGAGGAGGGACTGCTTCAGCATGTGGATGATTCTAATGGTCTCTTTCTTGAACATGTGCGGCAGACAAGTATCGTATACGGTCAAATGCCATGACCTCAAGTCGAGCTTCCCGGTCACCCAGTGAGCATTCGGTATGTTAATTGGGATGAATACCTGGAAAAATAAGTTGTGAATAACAATTGATACATAAAATATCTTATGTACGGAAAATAATTGAAGCCGTATTCTACCAACCCGGTCGACGTCTCGCCATGACGGAAATGGCTCGTGTCTACCATCGCCCCACATCTTCTGCGACCTAGGCCCAAGCCCTTCGGTGGATAAATTTGGTATCCAACAAGGCGGCATGATGGTCCAACGGTCTGTTGGTCGCCTCTGTCGGAGAAGATAGATGGTCCACGCATCAAGATGCTAAAAATACAGAACAATGAATCAATTATAATTAAATGCGAAAAAAATAGATTTTTTCAATTTATACAAATTTGTGTAATTCTCATACTTTGTTTCCCAAATAGCCTGAACCAAGCTTGCCCAACAGTCGTCCCCAAAACTCCACGTTAGCCTCCAAATACTGGAGGGTTGTTAACCTAACTGAGGTTAACCGACCGGAGTCATACAACTGTGCGACGCTTGCCTCTTCGTCAACGACCTTCTCCTTCTTTTTTTCCCTTTACAAATGCGGTCCAAGGAGAGGAGATCCACCGCGATTTCTTGGTCAATCGCTTCGCAGGCAGGTCGGGCACGGTGGCATCATCTTTCTTAGCGACCAATGGAACGTCGCATTTTGTAGATGCCGCAACATCCATCGGAGGTTGCTGCGACATAGACTGTGTAGGCACAAGCTAATATTTATTAAAAAGTTTATCTAATTTAATTATTGACTTCATAAATAAAAACATTATGAAGGCACAACTTACCGTATCCATTGGGGTGTAGGGCGCCGGTATGTACTGTTTAAGCAAAAAATCAATAAAAATAATTTTTTTTAATATACTTGTTAATTATTAAAATAAAATCAATAAAACCTTAAACATATTTACCGCATCCCATGATGGAAAAGCATCCGGTATATATATCGCCGCATGCGTCATCGGAGGCTGATGCTACGACATCCAATATAAATTTATTGTTTATATAATTATTAACGTGCAAATTTATTGTTTATGTAATTTTTAACATGCAAATTAAAACATCGACAAGAATAAATGCTCTTACGTAGACGTCATGCGGACTACTGTGGTGTGGAGGATTAGTCGTATTTTGTCCACGCACAAATTCAGATAATCTCGCTTCTATTGAAGCGAGCCTCCCATCGACCTGAGCCTGATGTTTGAGCCATTCATCACGCCATTGTGTGTCCATATTTGCAGCTGATGAATGGCGAGTTTGCTGCTCGTACGTAGGTCTTTCAGACGTGTGCGCGGCAAAGGACTGACGTGGTCCCGATGATTGGAAGTCCGCGTCAGCCTCGTTATTATCCGGGTGTCCATAATTATTCCTTTCTATATATTCAATGATGTCTATCCACCATTGGGCCGACTCCTCCAAATATGTCGGCACCAACTCGGTCAGGGCCCGAGAGGATTTCTATAAAAATATAAATTAGTATATAATTTGGAACATAGTTAACCAAAAAAAAAGCCGTCAAATGTTAAAATTATAATCAATGAAACAGACCTTGGCAATGGTGGATAGTGCACAACACTCTTCCCAATTCATCATCTTAATTCGTTGCCATCCAAAATCCCTCGGGAGGGAAGGAGGATAACAAAAATAGGGTCGAGTTCCGGACAATGCCTCCAAGATCCATATCTGGTATGTTAAGAAAAAATTGTTTGTTAGAGAATGTCAAATAATCACTAAATAAGTAGTTTAACATTGTTGTAAAAAATTCACCGACCTTGAAGGCATATATGAAACCGTATAGTGTSTACTTCGAGSGMKGCCAATTGTTGTGTCTGCGCCGCTCGAAAGCATTCTTTATTTGAGGGTATGTCATACGCCATATGTATGAGCCCCACGGGTATCGGTTCCAGGACTCCAGATCGTCAACTAGATGCAAAATCCGATCTTCAATGTTGTGGGTTGGCTTTCGTCCCAGAAAAAATAAGTGGAGCATGATGACCAGGCAGACACGCACTGTGTCATCGTCTGATACATTATTTAAGTCGGACATTTTATTTTTAAAATGTCCGACTTTAATATTACGAAGATTGTTTGGAAACAATCTTCGTATGGAACAGGTGTTATGTGAGGGGTGAAGATCCGACCCAAATCTTAACCCCGTGATCAGACAGAACTCATGTATGCCGAACCGTAGGCTGAACCCTCCGACATTATAATAGATTTCTTCCTTCAGCGAAGAGACAGAGAGGTCCTCACATTGCACCATCCAATTGACAAGACACGAGTCTGAATAGGGGTTGGATAAATCCAACCAAGGGCCGAAACATGTGTTTCTAAACATGTTCAGACGCATGTCGTTGTCCCCAGGTGCTTTTCTAATATCTTTAATTACTGAGGTCTGAGCCCTCAAAGTAAGTAGAGATTCGTATGGCCCCCTGAAATACAAATTTATTTTGTATAAATACATAGATAGTTACATATATGCGTACGGGTTTTACGTAAGTATTTATACGTATATATGTGTACAGGTGAAAACCCGTACGCATATTTACGTAAAAAAAAGCGATATAAAAATACCAATGAAATTTGGTTCTAAAAAAGTTAAAAAATACAACTTCAATGGCGTATAAGTTTTATTAAAAATACCAAAAAACAAAAAAATACCAGGACTGCCCCCTAATTATCATCCGGTTATTTTATAACGAAAAACCGTGAAATTTAAAATTAAATACGTAAAATGACACATTTTATGTGTTTTTCCATTTTTATTAAAAACACCCCTTAATTGGTAAATAAAAAACACAAAATGACAAAATAGAGGTCAAATTTCGTTAATCAGATATTATATCTGATTTACGAAACCCAAAACATATAAAAATAATTTTTGCGTTTCCATAATTATAAATGTTGTATAAAATGGTTATTTTTATAAATTTCCCTTTATATATATAGAGTTGCATTACGTAAAGAAAACGAAATAAATTGCGCTAACATTTATATATATAAAGATTCATTACATAAAAAAAAAACGATATAAATTGTACAAAAATTGAAACTTAACATATATATGTGGATGTATTAAAACACATACACATATTTACCATATATTTACGTACGTTTTACGTACGTATTTTTATACGTATATATACATATATTTTCAAATATCACATATATTTACGTACAAAATGAAGTAAATGAAACTTAACATCTGTACGTATATATGCGTACGGGTTTAAACCCATACGCATATTTACGTATATTTACGTACGTATTTGATACGTATATATGTGTACGGGTTAAAACCCGTATGCATATTTACGTATCTTCACGTATGTATATACGTATATATATACCTACTTACATTTACGTAAAAAAAACAATACAAATTGCAGTAACATTTATATATGTAGATATGCATTATGTAAAAAAAAGCGATATAAATGGTACAAAAATTGAAACTTAACACGTATACTTATATATGTGTACGTATTAAAATACGTACGCATATTTACGTATATTTACGTACCTATTTTTAAACGCGTATATAAATGTATTTTCAAACAACACATATATATTTACGTACAAAATGAAGTAAATGAAACTTAACATCTATACGTATATATGTGTATGTATTAAAACACGTACGTATATTTACGTATATTCACGTACGTTTCACGTACGTATTTTTCTACATATATATGTGTATGTATTTAGTAACGTATGCATATTTATGTATCTTTATGTATGTATATACGTACTTACATTTACGTAAAAGAACGAGAATAAATTGCGGTAACATTTATATATATAGAGATGCATTACGTAAAAAAATAGATATAAATAGGTTCAAAAATTGAAACTTAACATGTATACGTATATATGTGTACGTATTAAAACATGTACACATATTTACGTATATTTACGTACGTTTTACGTACGTATTTTTATAGGTATATATACATGTATTTTCAAACAACACATATATATTTACATATAAAATAAAGTAAATAAAACTTAACACGTATACGTATATATGTGTACGTATTAAAAATATACTCATATTTACGTATATTCACGTACATTTTAAATACGTATTTTTCTACGTATATATGTGAAAGTATTACTAACGTACACATATTTACGTATGTATGTACGTATATATGTGTACGTATGTATATATATACTAGTTGTGTACCCGCGCAATGCGGCGGAAGCCATGAATTTTAACAATTTTGAA